CGTGTGGCACTCTGGACTCACCCAAACGTGTTTTAAATTCAATCTTATTTTCAGGATCCTCATCTTTCCTGAAAAGACAAAAAACATTTTTTTTTTTTGGTTAAATGTGTTTTCCTATTTTAGGTCCCACCTTTCTAAACTTTGAGTTCTCCCTGATGTTCACCTACTTGGTTTCCTTCTGAGGCTTTTCCATTAGTTCTTCCTCTTCTTTCTCTTTGCTGGCAATCTCAGCTCGTACCTAACAGGAAAGCAAGTAATGTTTAGACATGTGATCACTTTTACACGTATTTCTAATTCCACTATACCACATAGTGCCAGGAACTAAGAGCTCAATACTAAACAAGATAATATAATCCTTGCTCTAATGGAGCTTATAGCAGGAGAGACAGACATATTAAGCAAATAATCAACAAAATATGATAACTGCTCTAAATAAAATAAAAGAGGTATTCAAGGGTGTGGGAAGTGGGAGGTGAGGAATGGAGAGAAAATAAAATGGAAGCTGAGACTTGAAAAAGTAGCAATTAGTCCTACAGCAGGGCCACCGTTAGCCCTTCTAGATGGTCTGAACTAATAGCAGTCTCCTTTTTCACCTTGAAAGGCTCATGCCTTGAATGCCTTGAAAGAGCATTCATTCGGTTTTCTAGTATCACCCTCCACTCACTCACCAAGGCTCACCTTCTGAAGCAGAGCAAAATCCAAGCCTTTCACCAAATGGGTGTGTTCCATGTCACCACCCAAGAATTTGGACTCTTGGATCAACTGTCTTCTCTTCTCTGCAGCTGATTTGTCCCTGGATAATGAAAGAGGCCACATTAGAACAGCCCTTTGGGGGTGGCAAATGCCTCATGAAATGGCTTGATGTGGATTCAAGGGCAGGAAAAGAGTGAGGAAGAATTCGTACTGTGATACTTTGACTCTGGGAGGCTGAGGAAACCATGCCCAGGCCCTCTCAGTACTTACGCCTCAGCAGTGGGGCCCACAGCCCTGTAATTAGCTGTGGTGCTGATCAGCTCGGTCTCCTCATAGTCTTTATTCACTCCATCTCGCCGCTCCTTGGCTCGGTCCCGGTACTTCTCTGCGAGTTCTCTCTCTCTCTCAATTTCTTGTTGGCGAAGCTTGGCATAATAACTATGACCAGAAAAACATAAACGTGTAAGGCTCACCAGCTGCCATCTCAATGTCTACAGAACTGTTCCTGCCTGTTTCCCTACACCTTCATCCAACTCTCTATGGTATAAGTCATACATGACCTGAAAAAACCGTTGGTCACCTCTTGACAGTCCTGAAGTTCACAACTACAGCATCTTCCAGCTCATAGACACATTGTTCCATCTGCCTGCCACCTCAGGACACTCCACCTTTCACCTCAGAATTCTTTAACGCCACCCACCTCTATATCGCCAACTCTCTATAGGTATAAAGCTTTTCTATACAGAAACGGTGAAGTCATCTGAATTATTATCACCTTCCAAGTGTCAAAGGAAAATAAATTAGTCCTTGTCAGTTCTCCCTGAGAAGAGTGGAAAGCTAATGACAGGTCCAGAAAGTCTTAGTAGCATATAAATGATGATGATAATGATGAGGAGGTGGCAACCAAGATTTACTGGGTGGTGACTATATGCCGGGCACTGGCACACAGTTTACATGCACTACCACAACAGATCTCATGTCAACCTAATGAAAGTTACTACCACTGTTTCTATTCTACCATGAGAATATTAAGGATTAGAAAGATTAATCAAAATGCTAAGGTTATTCACTAGAAACTGGTAAAGAGATTAAAACACCACAAGTCGACTTCAAACCCCTAACCTGCCACTCCACACATCATTCCTCTCCACTATGAAAGCTGGGAGCCTGACAGTTGTCAGGAACTGTCAGGAAACTGAAAGGAAAACTTCAGCCTCTAGTCTTTCAACTAGCCCCTCCTCCTTTCCCTCAAACCCTACCCAACTCAAAACCCAACACTCTTCCCTCCTTCCTTCACCTCTTCTTTTTTCTCCTTCGTGCAGCTGGGTCTTCATCCTCATTGTACTCCCTTGGCATCCTAGAAGAGAAAGAAATTGACTGAGAGCAAAATACTGCCACAGTCCCAGAAATCCCCAAAAGTGGCCTTGAGGACTGAAGAAAGGTCTAGAACACTGACAAAAATAACAGTTTCAATCAGGCAGAGATCCATGTCAATATTTGTAAGTTGGTGGTTCTCACTTTAGAGGCATCACACCCATTTGAGGGACTTATAAAATTGTTTCCTCAAATGTCTGCCCCAGAATCTGAGTCTGTGCGGCTAAAATGGGCCCAGGAATCTGCCCATTTAAGCATCAGCAGCAACCCTAGTACAAGTGGTTCATGGGACACACCCTGAGAAAAAGCAAATCCCAGAGCATCCCAGGCTCCACTGGCGCTTCAATTTCCGGAGAGAAAGTATCAGAACCACAGGCTTCAAAAAGTAACCAGCCTTCCCGTTCCTAAGACATCTAGATAAACAGACTTTCTGTAGGAAGGAGATGGGAGACAGGCTGGGTCACCCCGGAACTTACTCATGGTGACGTGACTTGGAAGGCGGTGCAGAGGTAGGTGCAGCCCTTGGGGTCATGAGAAGTTTCCTGAAGTCTTCATTGGTGAGTTTTGATCTAGAAGGCAAAGATTTTAAAATTTAGTACCCAATAAAAGTTAGAAAAGAAATATGTTAAAAATATTGGTACTTTTACTGTAAATCAGGGAACTACAACTTAAAACAAAATATGCAACCCTGGCCAGGTAACTCAGTTGCTTAGGGCATCGTCCCAATATGCCAAGGCTGCACACTCAATTCCTGGTCAGGACACATACAGTAATCAACCAATGAACGCATAAGAAATGGATCAACAAATCAATGTTTCTCTCTCTCTCAAATCAATCAATCAATAAATTTTTTTAAAATGCCACTTCTACCATTTCAAACTGTTAATTATTACAAAGTTTGATTAATCACCCTGGCTGGTGTGGCTCAGTGGATTGAGCACCCGCCTGCGAACTGAGAGGCTGCTGGTTGATTCCTGGTCAAGGCATATGCTTGGGTTGCAGGCCAGGTCCCCAGCTGGGGGCACAGGAGAGGCAACCAATCCATGTTTCTCTCACTCACTGATGTTTTTCTTTCTCCCTCCCTTCCCTCTCTCTGAAAATGAATAAGATCTTTTAAAAAATGGTAATTAAAAAAAAGTTTGATTACTCCAATATGAGTGAGAATTTGAGACGTGAATAATCTCATGTATCACTGATAGACTATAAGTCAGTAGAGCCTATTTGGAGGGCAATTTGGCAATATCTATTAAAATTTAAGTATGTATCTCCTATGACCCAGCAATTCCATTTATCTATATGAATGGCCAGTTCTCAGTTAACAGATTTGAAAATAAAAACTTGCAAACTACCTAAATGTCCATTAACTGGAACTAACTAAATAAACTGTGACAGTGTTTCCCAAGTATGGGAAAGATGTCACTGATGGTACAAGAGAATGTTTTAATTGGTGCAGTGACAAGGAGCCATTCCTTGACCAAATTTTAGTCAGGTAGCTTTGAGCCCTCTTCCAATGAGGCCTCTCCTTTGGCCTGCTGAGCCCAGTATTAACAATGGGAAAAAGCAAGTATAAACGGTAAGTATACTATATAACACCATTTAATTTAAATATTTTAACTCACAAAGCAATGATATATTTTCCTGAGATACACATACATGTATATAAGTGCATTTTTTACAAGAGTAGGAAGAAAAGGTACTCGTAAAAAAGATAACAATGGTTACCTCTAAGAAAGGGACTGGAACTGGGGATTTTATCAAAGAGAACTTTACACTTATTTCCTATGTTTTAATTTTCTATAAGAGGAATTCCTATGTAATGTGTAATTAAACATCAACTTTCAAAACTAGCACCCTCCTTGCCAGAATTTCCCTTCTAATACTCTCATGCAGTTGACCGATCCAGTTAAAAGGGCAAGTGGTACAATTTTTTGGCCATCCTTGCTTACAAGACATTCAGAATTCTTTTACCATCGCCACCACCACCTCCCTACCCATTTCCCAGCACATTCCCATGGTCTGAAATCAAAACACTCACTGGTGGAAGGAGTGAGGATCATCCACATCGTGGCCATCCGGGGCCAAAGGGTTGGAGAACGGCTCGCCTAAGATACGGAATTGGCATTAACTTAATTAATCACTCGTTTGAGTCAGGTCCTGTGCAAAAGTTGGGGATATAACACTGAACAATACAGATGTGTTTTCCTGTTAAATTGCTCACAATCTAGTGAGGAAGAAAAGCAAGAAGAGCGACAGTACCAATACAGTGTAGTAAGTACTTAAGTGGGAAAATACAAAGAGCTGTGGTAGCCCACAGGAGGGCGCCCCTAAACCAGCTGGAGGGTCAGCAAAGACTTCCTGAAGACGACATCTAAGATACTACATGAGAGAAAGAAATTGACGCAAACCAAGACTAAGTGATACGGCGTTGGGGTGCGGGGGAGTAGTAAATCAGATACACCCCATCTCTTGACACCTGGGACAAAGACCAGGCTTAAAGACAGAGTCTGGGGCTGCCCGGCCTCACTTGGGGCCCAATGGCTTCGCCAAGGCTCCAAGCGTCACTCCGGCCCCTCTCCACCCTCACACACACACCCTAAGGTCTAAATAACGTGCCATGTGTCCCGAATCCCGCAGACAAAAAAAGGACAGGCGACCCCAGACTCACTATCTCGCTCCGGCATTTTGTCCGCGGCGTTTGAACGCTGGCAAAGCCTGAGATTCCACCAACAACAAAGCAGCGGCAGCTTTTTCCCCACAATGCACCTCCGGATCTAACCCACAGTCCTTTGCGTCCTGCAGTCTTTCCGCACCCGCCCACCCCCGGGGAAACCGGAGGAGACGCGATTGGTGCCCTACACGGCTTTTAGATCCAGGGCTAGGTTTGGCCCCGCCCCGCACGTCAGCCAACCTATCGCGGGGACTGAAGGGCCTGCGATTGGTCCGCCTAGAGAACTTGGTCGGAAGGCCTGGACAGGGGGGCGGGTACTAGCGGAGATGGCTGCCGCCGCGGTGAGTCGTGGGGTCGGGGCCAAGCTGGGTCTACGGGAGATTCGCATCCACTTATGCCAGCGCTCTCCTGGCAGCCAAGGCGTCAGGTGAGGCACTGCGTGAGGAGGCCGGCGGGCGGACTTCGGGCGCCAGGGTCATGATCTCGACCTCCAGGGTGTTTGGGGAGGCCCGCGCCCTTACAGGGCGCGCGGCGCTCTCTTTGGCCCTGCAGGGACTTCATCGAGAAACGCTATGTGGAGCTGAAGAAGGCGAACCCCGACCTGCCCATCCTAATCCGCGAGTGCTCTGATGTGCAGCCGAAGCTCTGGGCCCGCTACGGTGAGTTTGGACGCGGAGGGTCTGGGACCCTGGTGAGGAAACAAGGGTTCGAGAAGACGAACAGCCGTCCAAGGTCAAGCAAAACCCTGTAGAGTCTGTCTGAATTTGGCCTTGCTTTTGACCTTGTTGCCAATAAGGAAATTTACGTTCGTAGGGTTATAGGATGCTTTGCGTCCTGGGTAATAGCCGTGTGGAGGCAAGCCCAGTCCTGGATAGGGACCAGCCGCTGTCATTTTTGTAATTCAGAAGTTTTCAGATAGAAGATGCTGGTCAGTTCTCATCAGTGTAGATCCTTCCAAATTATGTGTGGGCAGTACTGGTCCAGGCAGAGTGTTAGATTCTCAATGATGAAAACCTAAAATAGTGATTGTGTTGAACACAATGCTAGGCTCTGCTTGGTGCTTTCCTACCCTATAGCTCATGTCATCATTGTATGAGGGAGTTGATTCTTTTTTGGTTTTTCATTGTAGAGATTAGAAACTTCAAAATTTTTATGGAACGTTGCCTAGGGTTACGTAGCTGGATAGAACAATGTCGAGCCTTTACATATGTTCCCCTTCCTAGAATGCACTGCTGCCAGACATCTGTGGCTGGCTCCTTATTATGCAGGTTATTTTCCGTTGAACTTTTGTGTCACCTCAAAGAGGCATTCTCTGACCAGTTATGTAACATTGCCCCAGCCCCTGTTTATCACATCACCTATTTCAATTTACACAATTACTGAAAATTACTATCATGTTGCCTGACACACAGTAGCATGCCATAAATGTTTATCAATACTGATTAGTATTTTCATCATGGTTCTTAACACCTTGCCCTAGGAATGTCTAGAGAAAGTGGGAAGTCACACCTAAGGCAGATTGATTCTAACATTGGATATCTGTAAGTAATAGCATGCACTCAAAACTGAAGGAGGAAAAAGGTTCTTCCGAAAACCAGCAGACTAGAGGAGATGGACTCAGACAGCTGCAGTGTATTAGAATAGACTAGTATTAGACTGGGAGCCACAGAGTGCACACCCAGCCAAGGCTAGGCCCGTGCAATGAATACTGTTCACATGGTTAATAAATGTCAACAGTGCCCCTTAACACTTCCCTGACACACCTTCCTTACCATTGTGGCCACCCATGATCAGCCAAGATTCTAGTTGGACCTGGGCTTCCTAGATGTGTTTGAGACCCACTGGATGAATTCTAGTCCTACCAAATCCACCTCAGTCATTTCTTTACTACTCTGCCTATCATAACAACTATAAGTTGATGACAAAGACCTGCTGTTATACTTTGCTAGCCCCCACAGTGCAGAGGGAATACTTAGTCACCTTCCCTTCTCTCCAGCATTCGGCCAAGAGAAGAATGTCTCTTTGAACAACTTCAGTGCTGATCAGGTAACCAGAGCTGTAGAGAATGTGCTAAGTGGCAAAGCCTGAAGCCTTCACTGAGGATTCAGCCCCACAGCCTGGGTTCTGCTGGACTGAGTACAATGTGGAAAAATGTGTTCTCCTGTTCGTTATAAAGCTTGTGCTGTAAGATGCTGTCTCTGAATGTTCTTTACCTCATTCCCCCTTCTACCCCTACTGTGCAACCACTGAGACAAAGCAGTTTAATATAAAAATAAAAAACTTTATTCTATTCTGTCCCATCAAAGGCCACCAGCTGCTAAAACATAACAGAGGGAGAGAGATTCCAGGGCCCCAGAGTAAGTAGACCAAACCCACTTCCCTCGGGTCCTGCCTGGACAGTGCTGAGAAAGAGCAGGAGCTGAAGTCCAAAGGCCTTGGTTTAGGCTTAGGTGTGGGATCAGAGAACATGAGGAGTCATTATGGTCCTAAACCCCCAAAAGGGACTCCATGGGCACGGAAGCTGGGATGAGGGGGAGTGGAGTAAGTGACATTGAGAAGCCAGGTCACCCATGAAGAGCTGTCTGCTGGAGAGCATGCACTCGATCCTGGAGCTGTGCCTCCTCCTCATGCCTTTTAAGGGCCTGTAGCCCTGATTGCTGCAGGAAGGCCTGGGCAGTCTGGTGGCAGGAAAGAAAAGGATTCAACATCTAGGCCCCTATACCCTAAGACTCAATTCCCAGAGCCTTATGGGTTAGTCCACCGCTTCCTGGGCATTCCCAATAAGAGGATGCTGTTTCTGACCCGGAGCCCATATAAACTATCCAGGTCCACAGAAGAGGCTCTAGTTAGAATTGGAAAGAAAGGGGCCACAGTGAGACTAGAGGCTTCAGAACAAAGGGGATTGAGAAGCAGGACCAGAAACCAACCTCTGGCCGATAGAGGAACAGCAGCTGCAGCAGCTCCAAAGTCTGGCCTACTACTTCAGTGTCAGAGAAGACCAAAGTGTCCAGCAAGGAAGAGAGCAGGGGCCCTGGCCACAGATGCCAGCAATAAGCAGGACCCTTCTCTGCAACGTTGCACAGAACTGTGAGCACCTGTAGACAGATACGTATACACACAATCCCCACAAAGGATGAAAGCCATTGACAGCAAAAACTATGGATTGCTGACAACATGCCCCAGGCACTGTGCCAGGCAATTTTATAAGCAAGTTCTGTAATCCCCACATTGTCCTCAGGATTACTATTCCTAATTATAAATCAGGAAAGTGAAGCTTAAGGTGATTACTTCATTTGCTCAAGGCTAATAACTAGTAAACCAGTTTAGGGACTCACCCAGACAGGCCTGCCCCTGAGACCATCTGTACCATACCACCTGCCAGCTCTCAGCTAAGGGTACTTCTGAGTTCCTACTGTTTACACTTCAGCCACAAGACCTTAGATGATACCTATACCTACCAATACGCTCACCACATTAGATACTGGTAACAACCGCAAGAGAGGCTCAATCAGGTCCAGGGAGAGCAAGGAGGTACAGAAGCTAGGACTGTTTGCTGGAAGGGAAAATGTCGGGGTGAAATCCCTCTAACTGCAGCCTGAAAACACCCTCTCAATCCAACCCACCTCAGTCCAAACTATAAGGAAGTTTCCCTAGTATCTAAAGGTCCTGGTCTCGGCAGATTATGGAGCATACCAGTGAGGTTGTTAAGGAGCCAGAGGCCCTCAGGAAGCAGGCTGGGCTGTTTCTGGAGGAAGAACTGCAGAAGGATAAATAAGGATGCCACAACACGCTCATCTCTGAGCTCCATTTGCCCTCCCACAGCATCCACTGCTGGCTCTGTTAGCAAATTGCTAAGACACCGAAGCACAGGGCACACCAGCTACAAAGACAAGTTGGGGATCAGGTGTGAGGAAGAGGGGCAACCTACATCCTGGAGAAGAAACAGAGTAGGAAGAAAGGTTGAGCAGATCTTGACCTGTCCTCTTCACCTACCAGCTCCAGTCCTGTATCCTCAGATCTCTGGACAGCACCAGCCAAGTCCAACAGCAGCAGCCCCAGAGTGGACAGAGCCCCATGGGTGATGAGCAAGGCATTGTTGACCTGGCTGGGCAACAGGAAACAAGTACTGAATAGTTACTAAGCCAATTCCACTTTCAGTTGGCCAACAGCCTGGGTCTGTGGGTTTTGTGGGTTTTCTGAGTTTGGAGAAGAAAAGACCATGGAAGGAAGAAAACATAATTCCAGAACCCAAAGTTCAAAAACCTAAGTGTCATGAAGGAAACCGCAGGGGAGGTCTGTGGCACTTTCCCAACTTGCTTGTTACCTGCAGATGATGTAGTGAAGGCACCAAGCAAACTCCACAGCAACTCCGGGGTTCAGCTTTGGGCCAGGCTGCAATAGTTGCAGCATGTGCTGGGGGAGAGCGGAGCCCAGGACGGAGCTGCCAGCAGAAGCAGAGCTCTGAGTAAGAACCACAGAAGGCAAGATGCCTGTTGCTCTTCCCAAACCCTAACAGCAGGTGGGAAACGTATCCAAACCCGAAATCCTTCCCAGCCAGACACATGGGGAGTTCAATGTGCAATAGCTTTGGAATAGACTTGAAGTATCAAGAAGCTACACTGCTAAATGGGTCACCCCCTGCCTGTACACCTGGAGTCACAATTTTACTTACGGGATGATTTTTTCTGGAGCTTCCTTAGCCTGCAGGAGCTGGGACAAGGCATATCCAAGGGCTTCCAGCACAGTCTGATGAGGAGACTAGAAATAGACAGGGCAGGGATCTAACTCTTGGAAACTAGGCCAGAAGACAGGCCAGAGGCTGGAGCTGCCTAACCAAAGCAGCTGGGGCGTATGGAAAAAAGTGAGGGGAGGATTGCCCAGGGAAGAAGATAGATAAGGCGGACACTCACCTGGATGCAGGCAGCCAAGGCTGGAACAATGCCCTGTGGCAGGAGCTTACTCCTCACAGCTTCACTCTCCACGATCAGGTTACCCAGTGTATACAGACAGAGCTCCTGGAGTGGGACAACAGCAGCACTGGGCTTGGCCCACATCAGTTCAGGGTGGGGGGTGGGGATGGAGAGAATGGAGCAGCCCTGTCCCGGAGACTCTGGGCACAAGAGGGTGAAGATGATGGATGGGTGTGGGCATCAAGGGAAACTGGTTTTCTTCTCCCTATCTGCCAGCTCAAACTGGACCCAAAGACACAATTTCTAAACTCAAGCCAAAACCAAAGTAGGAAGGGACAGGGCTTACTATAAAATCAGAGCTGTGACCGGAGAGGTAGGTGAGAAGGTAGGAAGTGGCTGGCAGGCAGGCCTCAGCCACCGCAGACTGCTCGGAATGAGAGAGCTCGTGAAGGCACCGAGCCGCCTCAAGTTGCAGCAGGGCCTGGTTGCTGGTCAGGAGCCCGACCAGAGTCCGCATGCTGCCCTCCAGCCTACATGAGTGAGTACCAGAGCCCTGTTCAGCCTGTGGCCACTCCCCCTCCACACTCCTCTCCATCCCTCAGAGAACCCCCCTGCCCCCGCCCCCCACCCACTCCATCCACACTGACCTGATGAAGGTCTGCTGTGTCTCTGGGCGCTGCAAGCCTCGGCGAAGGCTGGCCAGAGCTCCCTCTCTCTCCTTTTCCTCTGTTCCCCGCTGGGCTGACCACAGGAACTGCTGGATCTGGAGGCCAGGGCAGGGAGAAAGAGCAAATCTTGAGCCCTGCTCCGCCAACTTCACCTGTGAGCCCTCCAATATTGCACCATCTCTAGAACTTGTCATTCACACTTATACGGCCAGAAAGTGCCAACACTGCAGTAGAGGGGACAGAAGGAATCAGAACTGGGCTTAATACCAGCCCTGCCTCTTACCCTTCAAGGGACCTAAACCTCAGTTTCTCACCTGAATATAAGGGAAATAACATCCATTCCACCTTACCAGGTTATTTCAAGGATAATATTTAAACCTGGCATAATCTACCCCTCCAACTCATTCTGCTCATGTGACCTGTACTCTGACACCACCTAGCATAACATGACTTTAAAACTGCCAAGATTTTGCACAGTCTGTTTCTTCTGCATGGCATACCCTCCCTAGGTCACCCACTCCCTTCAGATTTCTGCTCCTGTCACTGTCTCTAGGAAGTTAGCTCCTTCTGGCTTCTTGTGGCAGACTTAGGGGTTTCTGTTGTGCCTCATGTTTCCTTCATGACAGGAGGCAGGTAGCACATCTGTCTCCTTCGTGGGCTGTGAAGACTTCAAAGAAAGGGACTCTGTTTCTCTTGTGTACCTCAGTACGGTACCCAGCAGTTTCCTGGCATGAAGTAAGTGTGAAATGAATAAATGGTTTAACCTAGGCACAAGTGCTTTGTAAATTGCACAGGTAAACACAGACAATACCAACACAGGGGATGCCCAATACTTGCTGAATGAATAAATGAACTAAAACCAACTCTTTTACTCATTTATTCAATAAACACTGTACAGGCATCGAGTTTTCAATGATGACAAAGATAGGGTCTAGGTTCCCATGGATTTTTAAAGTCTACTTCAAGAAATAAGAAACAAACAAATAAATTAAGATGATTAATAGTCTGCAAAAACAGTATGTGCTGTCAGGACGAAATACCAAAAGGGACCCACTTGAGATGCAGCAAAGGTACAAAAAGCCTTGATAGGAAAGAGCCTAGTATATTCTTCCCAGAACTGAAAAGGGGAAGGGTTGGCTGAAATGAGTAAACTGGTGAGATTGGAGGTAAGCAAAGACTAGATGACGCTGGACTTTATGATCACAGGAAGGAGTTTGGTCCCTATGTATGCTCCCCTGCCCCCACAGATCTCTATGTAAGTTTAAAAGACGCATCTAACTGATGTATGGAGAATGAACTTGAGGGTGGCAAGTATAGATGCCAATGACCCCTTAGGAGGCTGCTGTAAGTATCCATTGGAGGGTGGTGGGAGCTGCAATGGTGAGGCACAGAAAGACTCCAGAGTTGTGTTTGTTTTTATTCCTTACCGAGGAAATTTTTTTCATTGCTTTTAGCGAGTAAGGAAGGGAGAGAAACACTGATGTGAGGCAGAAACATGGACTGGTCGCCTCCCTTAGGCGCCCCAGACCGCCGCAACCGGGAATCGAACCCATGAGCTTTAGGTTATGGGGACTACACTCCAGCCAACTGAGCCACACCGGCCAGGGCACCTCCACAGTTCTTTAAAAGGTTAAAAAAATTAAAAAAAAAAAAAAAACGGCTAGGACGTGAAATGTTGATATGGGGATGAGAGTCAGGATGGGGTGGATACCCCAATTTCTGGCTTGCCCCATTGTGGGTTTTGAAGGGACCGCGTTCAGGTTTGGGGACGGACCTTGAGTACTCCAAGAAGGAATTTGGCGCCAGCCAGGACGGACCTCACCGTGCACCCTGCCCCCTCACCTCGGCTTCCCCGAGGATCAAGGCCACGCATCCACTTTCAGCTTCCTCTGGGGTGTCATCTCTCAGGAGCCTCTTGCTGACCAGCTGCTGCTCCCTCCTCGCCTTCCGCAATGCTGGGGACAAAGGACCGGGCTGAGGGCAAAGAAGGGGCACCCAAGATCCAGAGCCCGGACTCCCACCGCCATACCCCATCCTGCGTGTTCCCTTGCCCGCTCGCACCTGCCTCTCGCTCCCGCCGGCGGCGCCGTAGCTCTTCCACCCCGCATCCCACCGGCCTGAGACGGCCCTGCCGTCGGTTCCACATGGTGGAGCTAAAGGGAATTCTCACTAAGTTCAAGCCCAGGATCACAGACAGCCAGTAGGTAAGATGGCAGGGACCGCGCAGCCGCAGCGCAAAGCGGAAGGGGCGGTGAAGCAGGCGGGGCTCGGCGCCGAGCAAAGGCGGGGCGGAGCGAAGGGGCGCGGCCTACGGCTGAGGCGGGGCGAAGGGAGAGGAGGGGTGAAAGGAGGCAGGAACGCGGCAGCACTGGGCAGAGGGTTGGGAGCTGGCTGAGAGCCAAGCAAAACCTCCTCCGCGTTGGTTTGTCTTCTTCCCAATACCAGGAAAGAAAGTTGTTGAACTGTACTCAAGAAAGAAAGAAAGAAACTCATTCCCAACCCCAGCCGCCCCAGGCCAGTAGAGTCATCTTCCACTCAGCAAATAACCTCACCGCTCCCAAAACACCCTAGAGGAACATTCAAAACTAGCCCAAGTTCTGTGAAGATATGGGATACCATTTACTAGTGAAATGGTATAAGCACCCCACCCACACACCTCCCCACAACCAGCGCGCTTCCCACTGATGAGTGGCCATGCGTTACAATAATGAATGTTCGCAATAACAATTATTCCCATTTTATGGGTGAGGAAAATGAGACAAATATAATTATTTCACTGTTCTGCTAAACGCAAGTTGTATTATTTTTAGAATGATTTACCAAATCTTGAATGCCAGTAAGTTGCTGGGTACTTGGGAAACACTGATGAGTTTAAAAAAGGCTGGTGCGGCTCAGTGGCTGAGTGCCAACCTACGAATCAATGGATCGCTGATTCGATTCCCAGTCTGGGGCACATGCTCGGGTTGCTGGCTAGGTTCCCAGTAGGGAGCGCGCTAGAGGCAACCATACATTGATATTTCTCTCCTTCTCTTTCTCCCTTCCCCTCTCTATTTATTTTATTTAAAAAATAAAATAAAATCTTTTTTAAAAAAAGGTGTTCCTTACCCTCAAAATCCAAATTGTGGCCAACTAAACCCTACATGAGATTATTGGGGTCTAATCCCTGTATATATCTCCACTTTCAGCTGAAGAGCACCTCACTTTATCACCTCTCCTGCATCTTCTCTCTGTTACCTAAACAAGCTCTGCTCATTTCCTCCTCTAGGATTTTGCACAGGCTGTTCCTCTACCTAGACCCATGTCCCTGCCCCCCACCACCACAACCCACCCCCACCCAACCAGCCCCTTCCTTTAATTAACATCATCCTCAAGATCTCAACTCTTATGTCGCCTCCTCGGTTCTGCTGGACCAGTTGCTCTTGTTATGAGAGTTTATAGTGGCATATACTTCTTCACAACCCTTTTCACAGCTGTCATTAAGTTACAGTGTAAGTGATGTTGTCTCCACCCAAACCCCCTTTACAGCTCTAAGATACTAGTGCCCAAATAGTACTTAAGAAGTTTGGGGCGGGGGGGGAGAAAATTAGATAAAGAAATGCCAATTCCAGTCAAAGCTTTATTTGCCAAATTTCTTAGAATGAATTTTACCAAGTTACATACTCTTGCAAATAGAATCCATAATGGAAATTCTGAGAGACTTTTGCCTAACGTGGCATTGTTGGATGCTGCTGTGATGCTACTGTAATGTAATAAATTATTAAATTGTTGCGAAGTGCTGTTTTTGCCTTAAAATTTTATTTTGTGTGTCTTGAAAACTATAGTATTAAAGGTATTGAGATTTGTGCAAATTCTGGGCACACTTGGCATGAGGTAATATGTTTTTATTTTTACAAAATTGTAATAAAACTATGCAAGTGTGTTTATTAAAAGAAGTTCCATTGGAGGCCTCTAATTTTTAGAAAGCTATTACTTAAGCAAATACACAAATAAGAAAAAAAATCCAGAAAAGGGTATTATACTTCTCACCAACTTCCTTCCTTGAATTTAACTGATAAATTCAGTTAACTTCCTCTTGAAGTCAACTGATAAAGTCTTTGACCTCATCCACAAAATATCTACTTAAGTCGCTGTAGGCCATCGTCATCCTGTCTACCACACCTTCTCTCCAAGCCCAGCGTCCATCCAGCCCCTGGAGGGCCATTTATTGAGTACCTACTCTGTATCATGCACGGTCTGGCTGGGCATAGGGCCTGAGTCTTGTCCCTTTCCGTGAGATGAGCTGATTTCTATACCCACATCTTTCTCTTGGTGGGGAAAGTGTGATATGTCCCCAAGCAAAAGCTATGTTATGCCCAGAGTGTCTGCTCAGTTACAGCTGCCCAAACTGCCTTTTTACACTTACCTACCTGGCAATACTGTTAAGCCTATAAGAAACAGCCTCATGTCCTCTCCTCTACAAACCTAGCTATTCCTTTCTCCTACCACGCACGAGTCCTCTGTAAGAGTCTTCTTCACTGTGGACTGTAGTTCTGGGTCTGTTTTCACCTTCCCCATCTATTAGAATACTTGAGAGACAAACTAATGGTCATGTCAGCATCCCAGAGCTTTGCACTAATCTTTGTACTTGGTAAACAAGTAATAGATATTCTTGAATTAAAGTATGAGTTGGGAATCTTTGCAGAAATTTATTGCCCTCTTATCTTGGTCCCCTCATCCAGAATGCCTCCACTAAGGTGATGGGATTTGCTTAGGAGCCAGGCTTCCATGGCCCTAGTCTTCCGAATGCAGAGGTTCTGCCAAAGAAGGTAACAGCCAGGGCTACTGTCAATAGGTGTGGCTCTGTGCCACAGACTTTACTCACTGACAAGTACCATTATGTCCATTTTATTTTATGTATTTTATTTTTAGAGGGAAAGGGAGGGAGAGAGAGAAACATAGATATGTGAGCGATACATTGATTGGTTGCCTCTCACATGCCCCTAACTGGGGACCTGGACTGCAATCCAGGCATGCACCCTGAATAGGAATCAAATCGGCAACTTTTTGGTTCACAGGCCAGCACCCAATCCACTAAGCCATACTAGCCAGGACATTATGTCCATTTTAAAAGTAGAATGGACATAATGGAATCTGAGGAATGTGAGGCCCAGAGACTTTCCCAGGCCTGGCAATCTCAGTGGTAGATCTGGGTGGGATTCCATGCCTGGATCTCTGACTGCAGGGTCAATGTATTTAACACTGCGCTATATTAACATCTTGGTCCTTGGGAATGTTCCAGTGACCAACCAGGTTGAGCCTTGGGACATGGCTCAGAGTATCAGGGCATTTCCAACAGGACACACTGAAGGGAATGAGGCCTCCTTGTCTGGATGGGGAACAGACATGAAGCTACTTTGGGAAAATAAAAGAATTCAAATGTTTTTCATGTACCTTTTTCCCCAGAAATTCATAGGTGCAGACCTGTGAGAGCCATTGTGAAAGTGTTAACAATAAAACTTCAATAGCTTAAAGCTTTTTAACTTTATTTTACTTTTATGTATGTATGTATGAATTTATAAAAGATTTTATTTATTTATTTTTAGAGAGAGGGGAAAGGAGGGAGAAAGAGAGGGAGAGAAACATCAATATGTGGTTGCCTCTCACACACCCCTACTGGAGACCTGGCCCACAGCCCAGGCATGTGCCCTGGCTGAGAATCCAAGGGGGGACCCCTTCATTCACAGGCGGCACTCAGTCCACTGAGCCACACCAGCCAGGGCAACTTATTTTTATTTATTGATTTTGAGAGAGGAAGAGGAGAGACAGACAGACAGACATTGATTTGTTGTTCCACTATGCATTCATTGTTTAAGTCTTGTATGTTCCCTGATCAGGGATCAAAACCACAACCTTGGCACATCAGGATAATGCTGTAACCAACTGAACTACCCAGCCAGGGTTGAAACCTTTTTTAAAAAGAAGTTGTTTTTTTTTTCTGAGACATATAATAGCCAGAAATGGATCAGGTTCTGGGGCAGGAAATCTAAACCACCGGCAGCATGGCTAGGTGAAGAAAGCAACATATCCACTATCCTAGAGCTAATAGGCTCTTTTTTTTTTTAAGGGTTTATTTATTTATTTTTAGAGAGAGGGGAAGGGCAGGAGAAAGAGAAGGGGAGAAACATCAGTGTCTGGTTGCCTCTCACATGGCCCCCATTGGGGATCTGGCCTGCAACCCAGACACGTGCCCTGAACTGGGAATCAAACCAGTGACCCTTTGGTCACAGCCCACACTCAGTCCACTGAGCTAAACCAGCCAGGGCTTTTTTTTTTTTTTTAAGATTTTATTAACGTGATGGGCTCTTTTATACATGATGTTTTGGGGAAGAAAGATGTAAGTTGTTTAAAAGAATTTACACTGTTTATAGATGGGAAGAGGAGAAATGGAGACAGCTCCACGATAGGCACACAGTCTAGAAGGAAGAAATATTTGCTACTTTGATTAGTTACAGACAACAGCCCTAAGTGTTCGTGCCTGTGCAAGATGCAACAAAGATGCATCCTAGTGGTCAGACAGACGCCTAGAGGTTTATTCAAAACTCCAAAACTTCAGGAATGTGAACAGTCTTTGTTAGTTGGTCCACAGCTATCATCTGGTTAACTATTCCTGTCTCACTCATTCTCTGACTCCTCTAATTTTATTTAGAACATCTCAGAATTTTTCTCTTGTCAAAGCATAAACCCTACCCCACGCTCTGGGACATTTGCCTTTTTTGTTAAAACAAGTGAGTTACTAATTAACCCTCCTTCACCATAGGTCCAGCCCTTCCTTCCTAGGACACAGGAATTGTGTTGGGGGGGAGGGCAGGGGAGCACTAGGTGCAAGTGGGAAAATGGTGTTTAAAATATCTAGCTCATTTTCAGGATGGGGAAATGAAAACTGTAAGAGCAAGTGGCTAGGCCAATGTGTTTTTGTCAAACACCTCTATTTAAGAAAGATATTACTTTCTTAATCAACAAAGTTAAACAGAGAACAAGTCAGCAAAATTTTTAAAAAGGGAAGGGGAGTTGTTCTCTACATAAACTTCCTTCCCTTGAACTTAATTCCAGCCCTCGGAGTCAGTAGATGAAATTTGCGATCTCTTCCACAAAAGATCCAGGTAAATATGAGAGGATATTCAGGGAATTGAACTTAGATGATGGGAAGTTAATAGCAACCACCAAGACTAGGGACAAGTCAAAGAAACAACCCCGGCTGAGTCGCTGGGATGTAGGCGGGGGAGACAAGAGTCCTGGTAGGAGGCGCTGGGGATCCTCCTTTCTCCATACCCACCAGGGAAGCCCGGGGCTCCTGAGTCATCAGGGCACAGCCCGGGGCAGAGCACACTAGAGGTCTCTCAGGCTTGTTCCTGTTACGCCCCTCCTCCAGGCAACATCGTTCACTGCACAATTTCCCAGAAGGGTGTTAAATGCAGTGATGAAAAGAGGTGGGGAGTGACCAGGGTTCACAGAGGAGGGAACAAAGTGACATTCTCGGGGCTATATAAACTCTCCGAGGCCGCCAAAGGGTGTGTGGAGGCTGGAAGCTGGCTAGTGCAGCCAGAGAGGAAAGAAGCCGAAGTCCTTCCCAGAGCCGGCCGGGGACGCAGGGGCTCTGAGCACACACCACCTATCGATCATGGTGAGCACACGGCCTTGGGGCCGAACCCTGGGGCCGAACTGGGGCTACTCGGGGAATTCCGGGGACTGGCTGGGCCGCCCTGACCTCCGCTCTCCTTCCAGGTGCGCGCGCCCTGCCCGCTGCTGCTGCTGCTGCTGCTGCTGGTGCCGCCTCTGCTTCAGCTCTCCGCGGCCACACCGGAGCCCTGCGAGATAGACGACGAGGACGTGCGCTGCGTCTGCAACTTCACGGATCCGGAGCCGGACTGGTCCAGCGCCTTACAGTGTATGAGTGCCCTCGAGGTGGAGGTCCATGGCAGCGGCCGCAGCCTGCAACAATTTGAAAAGTTTGCCGACACCAACCCGAAGGAGTATGTTGACTTGGTCAGGGCTCTGCGCTTGCAGAGACTCACGGTCGGCGCCGCACAGATTCCGGCTCCGCTTCTCGTCGCCGTCCTGCGTGGGCTCGGGTCCTCCCGCCTCAAGCAACTAACGCTCGTGGACTTGGAAGTAACCGGCACGATGCCGGTGCCACCTCTGGAAGACCTTGGACCTAAGCTTCTCACCCTCAGTCTCCGTAACGTCTCGTGGGCAACAGGAGATGCCTGGCTCGCCAAACTGCAGCAGTGGCTCAAGCCAGGCCTCAAAAAACTGAACATTGCGCAAGCACACTCGCTCGCCTTTCTCTGCGCAGACCTCCACACCTTCTCCTCCCTCCAGACCCTGGACCTGTCGGACAATCCCGCACTGGGAGAGCGCGGACTGACTGCGGCTCTCTGTCCCAACAAATTCCCGACCCTGGAGGAGCTAACGCTGCGCAACTCTGGGATGGAAACGCTAAGCGGCGTGTGCGCAGCGCTGGCGGCGGCGGGTGTGAAACCACAGCGCTTAGACCTCAGCCACAACTCTCTGCGCGCCACGACCCAGGGCGCTCCCGCTTGCACCTGGCCCAGCGCACTGAACTCTCTCAACCTGTCGTTCGCTGGCCTGGAGCAGGTGCCTCAAGGACTGCCGGCAGAGCTCAGTGTGCTTGATCTCAGCTGCAACAGGCTGCGCAAGATGCCGAGGCTAGAGGAGCTGCCCAAGGTGACTAGCCTGACACTGGACGGGAATCCCTTCCAGGAACCGGATGCCTCCAAATACCAAGAAGTCCCGAACTCCGGTGTGGTCCCAGTCTCCACGTGTTCAGCCCTGGCCATGGGGATGTCAGGAACTGTTGCACTGCTTCGAGGGGCTGGGGCCTTGGCCTGAGAAGGCCCAGGGGAGAAGAATGGATTGGCTCAGGTTGCCGTGGCTCTGGAGGAGCCTCGGCAGGAAGCCTCTACCAACCACTTTTCTGCCCATCTTCATTAAAATCTTAAGCAGCGGTCCTTGTCATTCACTCAGCAGATGTTTGCTGTGTGTCTGCTAAGTACTAGGCACAATGATGGATGGGGAATCCATTATATTGAGATTTTCTTCATCCCAATTCCCCAGAAACGATATCTGCCTAAGCAGAGAACTTCAGGGGTGGAAGGCTCAAGGGGATGCTGCCTGTCTAGGGCTGTGTGGAAGAAACAAAGGGTTCCTGTGCAATCCAGGCTTTTTGAGCAGATTACTGGTACCTGTGTAAAAGGCTATTTGTAAACATAACAGGGAAGGTACAGAATGTTTCCTTTCTGGTGCATTTTTCATGATCCAGCTGGTCTCCCCAAAACAATAAAAGCCGCAGCCACTTGCTTCCTCTCTGTCTCTGAGGCAGGAAGGACAGCTGTGCCTGCTGTCCTACATTAACTCTGAGTTGTCTAATTTTAAGATACCTCTCCTGCTCCGTAAATCTCCCCTGCGCACACCTGCACTCTGAGTTCCACTGTGATGTCTGACGGTAAATTCGGTCATGGGGAAGTGGTGCAGCCATTAAACTGCCTCTGAACCACAGATCTTGTGATTAGGTTGGTATATACTGTATAACTGTTTCAGGATGGCTCTTTGATTTGCAAATAGGATAACGTCTTAGACCCATCACAGGGCAATTAACAAGATTGCCCCTCATCCACATTATCTCAGAAACCCAGGATATCAGCTAAGAGGTGCAGTTCCTTCTAAGAGTTCCTTCTCTACTAAATCTGATAGGCAGCCACACTCATCAGAGAGCTAGATACCTGCCTCTCGGGCTGGAAAGAGGCATGCAAACAGAGTCCTCCAGCCTGCCTCCTTTCAGTGTCCAGAACCACACAGATAGGACTGGAGAATGAAAATTAGTATTGATAGGAGCATCACATAGGTCACCAGACCACAGACTCAAAAAATCATGGGGACAGCTAAATAAACTGCCAACCCCATCAGGAAAACCCACTGGGGTATCCTAAAGAGGACTTCATCCAGCCTGTTGGGACATTTCTAGTATCAGAGAATTAACCACTTTAAGCAGCTTCTCACATTGAATAGCTCTGAGAACTCTTCTCCAAACAGTTACAGGGGCCTTGTTCCACCTCAGGCTCTGTGCTAGGAGCCTGGTGTACAAAGATAAATCAGAAAATTCATGCTCTTGGGGAATTCTCAATGCAGTAAGGAAGACACATAAACAAGATAGTTGTGATTCAATGACTGGGAAAGATCAACTCTGTAAGGGAAGGATGGTCCTCTGGAAGCCTGTACAGATGAAAAGACATTTCATATGGGTCTTGAGAGGTGCATACCACTTCCTCAGGAAGAACATCCCAGGCAAAAATGGGTAGTATGATAAAAGGCTCAGAAACATGTCCTGCCTGGTGTGGCTCAGTGGATTGAGTGCCGGGCTGTGAACCAAAGGGTTGCCAGTTCAATTCCCAGTCAGGGCATGTGCCTGGGTTGTGGGCCAGCTCCCCAGTGGGGACTGTGAGAGGTAAGCACACACTGATGCTTCTCTCCCTCTCTTTCTCCCTCATTCCCCTCTCTAAAAGTAATATGGCCAAACCTGGGAATTATCACTGATTAGGTAGGGCTAAAATCATGAGGATGGAAGCTGGAAACATTCACTGAAGTGCCTGTCATGTGTCATGCACTCTGTTAAACCCTGTGACATAACAAAAGTAAAGCAGAAGTTCTTGTTTGTATGAAGTTCAGATTCTAATTTGCTGGTGGGGGTGAGAGGAAGACAATAAGCATCTGAAACTTTGGTAAGTGCTATGAAGAGAAAGGAGACAGAGTGCTGAGAACTGATATGTTATCAGGATTGTTAGGAAAGGCCTCTCTGATATGTGATTTTTAACTGATACCCACATGCATTGGGAGAGAGAGCTTGAGGATATCTGGGCGAATAGCATTTGAAGCAGAGACAACAGCATATACATTCAAAGATCCTGAGGTCTTTGAGATGTTAAAGAAAACAATAAGGAGTACAGTGCAGTGGAAGGAGAGTACACAGGGATGGTAGGGAGAATGGTAAGAGATGAGATTAGAGGTAGTAGCAGGGCCAGATCACGCAGAGCCTTGTAAAACAATCCTACTCAAAATATGGTCCAAAACAAGGGCCAGGCTGCAAATTGTTTATTATTGCACTATGAGGAGATAAGTAAAAGAGTCAGGAATAAGTATTTTATAATTTTATAAAATTTTACATCTCAGCAACATATCTATCATATTTTACAAAAGTGTCATCTGCAATGGATTGGAACTTTAAAAATGAAACATGGTGCCCTGACCGGTGTGGCTCAGTTGCTTGGGCATTGTCCCACAAAGCAAAGGGTCAGTGGTTCAATTCCCAGCCAGGGCACATGCTTGTGTTGCAGAATCAGTCCCTGGTCGAGGCTCATTACAAGAGGCAACAGGTCGATATGTCTTTCTCACACTGATGTTTTTCTCCTTCTCTTTCTTCCTCCCTTCCCCTCTCTCTAAAAAAATAAAAATAAATAAAATCTTTTTAAAGAAAGAAAGTTGGTCTCGTGTTTGAGAAGCACTGTAAATACGGAGCATAGTAAAGACTTTGGCTCTTGTTCTTAGTAAGCTTAGGAGCCACCTCCCTCCTCTGACCTTAGAAGGAAGTTTTCAACCTTTCACCATTGAGTATGTTATGTTCATTGTTTTTTAAGATGAGAGAAATAGCATGGTTGTGGGCAGATGGGAATAGGCCAGTAGAGAAGGAAAACTTGATGATTCAGGAGAAAGAAGTGAGTCGTGCTGGAGGACTGTCCTCAAGGAGATAAAAGGAACCGGTACCTACATTCCCCAGTGGAGTGTTTGGCCTTAGTGGAAGCATGGAAACAATCAATGCAGAGTCCAGGCTAGAAGGCAGCATATCTGGGCCAAGATGTCAGTGGGTAATCATGGTAGCAGGAGTCTGTGGAGCTTCTATGAAACTGAAGCTCTAAATAAAGATCTTCAAATGTCAGGCACCTTCTCATTGTTCTCAGGATTCAACTCAAATGTTACCTTACGTGAAGAAGCCCCTTCGCCTCATTTTCTTCACAGCATTGATCTCAAATGGAAATCATCTTCTTTACTTATGTCTGTTTGTTTTTGTTTGTTTAGTACTGTGCTGAAAGCTCCACAAGAGCAACGATTGGTGTTAATCTTGTTGAATTATGAATCCTCAGTCACTAAAACAGTGCCTGGCATGCGGCAGTTGCTCCATAAATCTTTACTAAATAATTAATTGAACAAATGAGAGGGGTAGGCTGAGGCTTTTATTGTTGCTATGAGTTAAGAAAAGACCAATGTACTTCACTGAAGTCAAATACAAAGATTTGCCTAACTGAGACAAATAACTTAGGTGTCACAGTTCCAGTGGCAAAGGATGTAGTGTTTTTTTTTTTTATCTGATAGTACACAAAGCCCAGGGGGAGGATTCATTCATTCAAAATTGGGGGTGGGTGCACAGGGCAGCCCACGTGAAGCCCAAAGATTGAGTAAGTTGCTGCTGCTGAGGGCAAGGCTGAAAAATGTGTCCTACACAGGGAAGGAAGTGAGACAAGAAGTGAGGGATGAACTGAGAGAAGCAAGGGACCCATTTCCACATGCACAGTAACATCAGATATCCGGTGTGGTCTGACCGATTTTGTACCACAAGGGCAGGATTGGAGGTCATAAGACTTCCTTTTCTGAGCCAAAAGAAGTCCCTCTTATAGCTTCCTCTTTTGTTCCTATCCTGTCCTCTGGAACCAACTGGATATCAATTTATTTCCTCAGAAATCCTTGTTCCCTGAGTCAAGAGTTTTTGTTCTCTCCCATGGAGTCTTCTTTTCTCCGACACAACCCCTCCACCCCCGCCACTCCTTCTAATACTCAAAGCCCTCTCGTTCTCCAGATCATGGAGACTCTTTCTAGGCTACTTAGAATGATCTAGAGTAAAAGATAGTTGAACAATGACTTGGATATTTGAAGAATTAAAAACTTTCCTAGTTTTCACTCTGGCTGGTGTGGCTCAGTGGACTGAGCACCAGTCTGCAAACCTAAAGGTCACTGGTTCGATTCCCTGTTCAGGGCACATGTCTGGGTTGCGGACTGAGTCCCCAGTTGGGGGTGTGCAAGAGGCAACCGATCAATGTATCTCTCACACATCGATGTTTCTCTCTTTCTCCCTCCTTTCCCCCTTCTCTAAAAATAAATTAAAAAATAAAATAAAACAGACTTAATAGTACCTATCTATAAGGAATGTCTGTAGCACAGAGACACATCTATCGCAGCAGCCCTGATTGTTTTCTTCTTTGTCAGAGCCTCTGCGTTCAGAAGACTAGGGCCACCGAAGTGCCGGCAACTGATTCAATCACTCTGGTGCTTCGCTCCCTCTCTTTCTCCCTCCTTTTCCCTCTCTATGAAAAATAATACATAAAATCTTTTTTTTATTTCCTAGTTTTCTTTTTTAATATGGTATACTGTATGCTAGGTAGGATATTGTGGTTATGTATAAGAGAATGCTTGATAAAGCCATTACAAGAGAGGAAAATTGCAGTCCCATGTCTGCTATGAATGTGAATCTGGGAACCCCAGCCAAATGCTAGAAACTGACTCCAGCAACGTGTAAGAAGAATTACACACCAATGACCAACTGGGATTCATCCCAGGAATGCAAAGTTAATGTATATGTGTATATATATATATATATATATATATATATACTTGCAATAAACATCCTGAAAATGAAATTTAAAATTTTTATTCAGAATAGCATCAAAAAGAATAAAATACTTAGGAGTAAATACAACAAAAGAAGAGAAAATTTAAACTTCTAAAACTACAAAATATTGGTGAAAGAAAGTAAAGAAGATCTAAATAAATGGAATAACATTCCATTTTGATGGAAATTAATGTTGTTAAGATGTCCATTCTCTCCTAAATAATCTAGAGAGTCAATGAAATTTTTATAAGAATCTAAGCTGACTTTTTGTATAAATTGACATGATGATTCCAAAGTTCACATAAATTTCAACAGAAGCTAAATACATAAAATAATCCTATACAAGAACAAAGTTGGAGTACCCACACCCACTGATTTCAAAACTTACTGTGAGTCAACAGTACTCAAGACAGTGTTGGCACTCCCTTCTTGGGGCTCGTCCACTTGAATCTCCTTTTCGAGTGAATTTTCTTTCTCCAAATCTTTAAGGGTCCCCATGAGGCTTGCAACCCGGGGAGCAATGGGCAGTGGCAGCTTGTTCAGGGCTAACCCCTGCAACTCGTCCCCAAAGCCCCTTTTTCTCTGACTCCCCAGTGAGCTGACGGCAGACCTGCCTCGGCTCACTTCTTCCCACAACGTTCCTGGACAGCCAAAGCAGCCCCGCCTAGGCCCTCTCCTGTCGCTTCTTCTATCCTGGGCC